CAGTTTTTCAGATGGCTTCAAGGTCCAAGGACCAGATACTCGAATTAAAGACAAGGCTGTAACCCACGTTCAGAGCAGTACAGCGGAGCACAGACCCCGCAACACACCGTTCATGGGCATCATGGATAAGACTGCAAGGTTCCAACAGCAGAGCAATCCTCCAGGCCGCGCCTGGCACTGTCCGGCGGCAGAGGGGCTGCTGACAAACACGTCTTCTGCAGCTGGCCTGCAGTCTGCTAACACTGAGAAGCCATCTCTCATGCAAGTGGGAGGATATAATAACCAAGCCAAAACCTGTTCCGTTTCTACCCTGAGTGCAAGTGTCCACAATGGGGCACAGGTGAAGGAGCTAGAAGAAAACAAGGGCCAAATTCCAGTCCACTGTCCAGAGAACAGGATAAAGAAAACTGCTTCTCATCTGTACCAGGAAAGCATCTCCAAACAGCAGCCTCCTATCAGTAATGAAGCCCACAGGAGCCACCTCACTGCAGCAAAACCAAAGCGATCGTTCATAGAGTCAAATGTGTGAGCCTTAAGAAAGCCCCATTTGTGGAATTTGGAAAAGTGTGTTGTTGACTCCTGGTGGTAAATTAAATAGTTTTTTTCATCAGAAAAATTTTTTAGCCATTTTTTTTTCCTTGGGGGTGGACCTGATGCCATTGATATATCTAAAATGTGGGATAAAACTTCTTTAATAGCTAGAAGTTACCATAAATAGGAATGCTAAGCAGAACTGAAAACTATATCAAGTTAAAATTCTAAGACAGCCCAGAAGACATGAATGATTTTCACTTACAAAATTGTTTGGCTTTGCCATTTTCCTCCTTGCCTTTGCTATGTGGCAAAATCATAGTACTTAGAGAATAAGTACTATTAGTAAGTCTATTGTTAAAGCGTGACTGGTTGAACTCATGACATAATATCTAAGTGATATATCTGGAAACGATGGAATTCTACAGTTACAGTTCCATTGAGTCAAATCCCATTTTATATATACGTAAAAATTAAGTTCTGAGTGATTCCTAGCTAAATGTGTGACTGTAAACATAATATAGTCAATTTTTTTAAAGCAAAGTATGAGAATACCTAAGTATTGTTCCCTTCATAGCAGTTCCTATAAAGGGATTAAACACTTATTTCTGTGTTATGGTTCTTATTCATATATTTTTATAGCATCTTTTTTTGGAACCTGTATTTGTGCTTGAAGGTGTTTTGACATTTGGAAACAGTATAAGCCATTTGGAATCATGACTGGTGGTCAGGTGGATTCAAGCAAAAATACTAAGACCAGCAATCTTAGTAGCGCTTATAAATTAGCTCTCATGTGTTTTCCAAACTGCTTTTAACAATGGTAGTGCTCCTGGAACAATCTTCCAAGCTCCTCTAAAGACAGTATTTAATTCAGATACTAAAGGTAGGGCTGGTTGTTGCTTTTGTTTTGTTGTACAATAGTACTTTATAGTCACATGTTGTATATATTAAATAGCCCAATTTTATTCAGACTTGTAAATATAACTATTTCAGTGTAGTTCACCTACAAAGAAAACCCCAGTCATGATTTGCATGTTCTCTGTAAGCTTCATCCATGCTGGTTATTGCACTGAATGATGTATTATTATGGCATGTTAACATTATACCAGTAACAGCACTTTATCTCATTTATATGAACACCTTTGAGGTGCTACTTAAGTCCAAGCTGATGTATTATTCATTTGTAAAGATAAGGTACAGGAATGAACCTTGGCTTAAAGGTATTTTTCTATGAAAATGGTGTTATTGGAGGATATTAAAATGCTAATTTGAGAAGAGTAGGAGTGTATTTGTTTTATATGTTGGGGTGTGAAATTTATTTTCTAAAATTGAGGAAGTTATATATTTGCAGAATGTTTTAAAAATGAATCGTAATGAAGTTCCTGTGAACATCATCATGGTTTTGTACGAATAGGGACCTCTGATGTCATTCTTCAGCGTTTGTTCTGCGTGTGTGTACAGTTGTACTTTGTGTGAACAGCTTTATCGTTTTTATAGGCTTTCCATGAGTTTTGCTGTAACTACTATGGCTTATTTATTTTAATATTTGTGGAAGTCTTACTCTTGTTAGTTTTGTTTCTGCACAACTACTGTACTTTTCCATATGGAATAAAGACTATTAGTAGAATTTGTTTTGCACTAAATGAGTCAATGGATAAGTAGAAAACAGCCTGATGACAACTATCTCTGTTGCTTTAATCCTTGTTACCCTAGAGGGAATAGTGAAAAGCATATTTTATATTAACACTACCAAATGCATATTTAATTTCATTTTATAATTTCAGAATAGGGTGACAGCTGCTAGAAATTCCGTAATACTCTAGGGCCAAGTTAGTCTTTTTGCCTCAAATAGAAAACATGCAGGAAAGCAATATATACTTTCCTATCTGTTTCAAGACATATTGGTGTCTGTTTTTATTGGCAACAGGGATATCTTTACTACTGTAATTCTCAGACACTTTGGCAATACACTGAACATTGTTATGACAGTTTGTTCTTTAACACATTTGTATTATCTTTCAGTTAAAAGTGTTTGTCTTTATGCCCACACATTTCAAAGTAATATGAGAGTGAACATTAAACTGTTGTATCATGATAAAATTCTTGGATGCTTAAACATCATAATGAATACCTCAGATTTATTGTCTGGTCACTGCTGTTGTTGCAGGGCTAAGTAGCTTCAGTCCTTAAAGAGCTTTATATTTAATGAAAGGTTAAAAACAAAAAGGATGAGAAGGAAAGTATTATCACCTAATACATAATTCCTGTCATTAGATGATTTTTCCTGTAAAGGCGCTAACAAGAATATTCTCGTAATTTATTATACATTATGATTTTGATATATACTTAGTAAAGATAAGGTGCTGGGTCCAGCCAGGAAGAGGGGATGCATCCTTAGAAAGCCAATGGTCAGTCCCGACAGGACAGGGTGGTGGGCAGTGCTGCTGCTCCACATAGCCTTGAACAGTGGGACCTGGAGTGCCCGGCATGGGGGCTGTGTGGTGTCCACTCTCACCGATGGTTGTGGTTTGCTTGTGTGGAAAAGAGTTGCTCGACTTTGGTTTATGTGTTATATACAAAATGAGGTGTGTCAATTAGGTAAATTATCAGCATCTTAGTTTTCAGTAGTTTTGTTTGACAAGAAACTATCCTGGTAAAGTCTAACAAAGCAAAATACCTTAACAGTTCTTAAAAAAAACATGGCTTCTTGTGTTTTCTAGCAATGACTTTGAATGATTTTAGTGATTTTTATTTAAAAAACAGCTAACCTCCTTCGGAAAATGTCTGTTACTTTATGAAAACAGAGACAGTTGGACCAATGGTAAGTTCTTTTACGTTTAAAAACTGTTCTGGGCCGGGCACGGTGTCTCACACCTGTAATCCCAGCACTTTGGGACACTGAGGCGGGTGGATCACTTTGAGGTCAGGAGTTCAAGACCAGCCTGGCCAGCATGGGGACACCCGGTCTCTACTAAAAATAGAGAAATTAGGTGGGCATGGTGGCAGGCATCTGTAATCCCTGCTTCTTAGGACGCTGAGGCAGGAGTTGGCAGTGAGCCAAGATTGCACCACTGCAACCCAGCCTGGGCAACAGAGCAAAACTCTGTCTCCAAAAAAAAAAAAAAAGTGTTCTGTTGAAATTATTAGCATACTTTCTATAAAGAATAAAACAGAAAAACAGCCAGGCATGGTGGCTCATGCCTGTAATCCCAGCACTTTGGGAGGGCAAAGTGGGTGGATCATGAGGTCAGGAGTTCAAGAGCATCCTACCCAACATTGATAAAACCCTGTTTCTATTGAAAATACAAACATTAGCCAGGTGGCATGCACTTGTAATCCCAGCTACTCGGGAGGCTGAGGCAGGAGAATTGCTTGAACCTAAGAGGCAGAGGTTGCAGAGAGCCCAGATCATACCATTGCACTCCAGCCTGGGTGACAGAGCAAGATTCTAAAAAATGAAAAGAGTACGACAGAAAAACACCTAGAACATGCTTCCAACCTTTCTAGTCCTCAACAGTAGGAATGTGAGAAGCATGTCATAGGAAAAAAAAAATTACTTTTCTAGAACCATTGATCATGAATCCTAGTTATGATGTAAAGGTTAACAAAGTTTAGTAATAAATTAAGTTAAAATGTTTACAAAGAATTATAAAGAAATGGTGTTTGGAGATTTCAGGGCTAAGGCTTGCTGCCTTTCTGTGAATGTGTAGCATATTAGTTGTGAGTTTCTAAAATGCATGGTCATCCTTTTCCTATATTTACATTGCTTTTCCCTTTTTATTTCCAAGTTTCAAAATTCTTGAACAATGCCCCATTGCGAGTTTTGGGGGTAACAGTGCAAAGAAGGGTGCAGGCCCAGAGACCCGGCCTGTGCTTGTAGTGCAGTTGTAACAAGCTCCCCGCAGATGGCTTCCATTCTAGTAATAACACTGGACAGGCAAGTAAGAAGTTAGCACCACCTTCACTTCCTCAACCTCGAGTTTTTTTCTGGAGTGAATATATCAGGCTATTGTGTAAAAATGCCTTTGTTACCGCAGCTTAGAATTATATGTGAGAACTTTTAAGAATTCTTAATTCTGAAGGGAGGCTACAGTTTGCCATTTTATGTATTTCAGCAAAGTCAACTTATTTAGCATTTATTTCATCTAACTTATATGTAGGTTTGGAAAATAAGAAAAAATTCATTACCATCCTGCAAACTTAAAATTCAACAAAATTGCTGAAACATCTGAGGTGATTTTTCTCAATTTAATCATAAACAATCTACAACCATTTTGCTGCAAATTCTCTTTAAAATGGCTCCAAAGAGTTACTGAATGAATGGCTAGTCAGTAGAATGTAAACATCTGTTATTCTAGGGTAGTCCACTCTTGAGTTATAAAGAGAGATGACCTACATCTAACAAGAATAAATGTAGACACTGTTGGGAATAATATTAAGAGGAATAAAAGAAAATTGGGGCACTGCAATTTAAAATGTAACTTTATTTCTATACAGCTGAAGATTTTTTTTCACTAGTACAAAAGGCTTTTACAGTAAAAGTCCATGTATTTTTAAAGAATGGAAATTGACAATTTTTATAGGTAACTAAATTGAAGTTTACCTTTTTCCTGTTTTGTTTTTAATAATGTCTGATTAGTAATTACCTTTAAATCATTCAAATGAGATTACTGAAAATAGAAACAATATAATATCAACAATTTTACTTTTGATGTGTCTCCAGCCATCTATTGATGGCCATTTTCAGAGTCCTATTTGGTGTAAGTACCACTGAAGGAAGAACAAGATTTGTCATGGGACTTGTACGTTTCTTTGTGCTGATCCAATTTTCCATTGCTTCCTTTTCATAAGAATAGCCATCTGAAAAAAATCACACAAATTACATGATGTAGGAAAGAGTAATTAGGATTACTAAAATGAATTGAGTGCAAAAACTTTGCAGAGGCCTTTATTGTGACTTAAATGGTATTCCTCTCCTGTACCACCACTCCCAAAAATCTCTGCTAAAACACCTGAAATGCTTTAAGATCGGATGGAGATGTATGTAGCAAAAATTACCCAGAAGAGTAACATTATAAACTCTTTGAACAGTGCAGCTGAGACAGGGACCCTGTCAAATTCAGACACAGTGGAAGAGAAGAAAGGAACAGAGTTGAGTGGAGCGGGAGTGAGGATGAACTGCCCACCAGAGCTGCAGAAAAGAGCGTATGACTCAGCAAAACTTTTGAACACCTTGAAAAGTCAGGAAAACAGATACCCACCCAGAGATGACAGAATTTACCCCACTAAGGCTTTGACAACAGTGAAGGGGCTTAGGTTTTTTGTTTTTGTTTTTGTTTTTGTGTGTGTGTGGGGTAGGGGGAGGAGGAATCAAGTCTTACGTTGTCACCCAGGCTGGAATGCAGTGGTGAGAGCTCAGCTCACTGCAAGCTCCGCCCCCCAGGTTCAAGTGATTCTCCTGCCTCAGCCTCCTGAGTAGCTGGAACTAAAGATGCCTGCCATCCTGCCTGGCTAATTTTTTGTATTTTTAGTAGAGACAGTGTTTCACCATGTTAGCCATCTGGTCTCAAACTCCTGACCTCAGGTGATCCATCCGCCTCGGCCTCCCAAAGTGCTGGAATTACAGGTGTGAGCCACTGTGCCTGGCTGCTAAGGTTTTCTTAACACCATATTCTTGCAAAATTCTTTGTCTTTACACATATAAAGACTGGACTTTTGCTTCACTACTTTCATTTTTATACTTGTAGCTCTTTTTCAAGCTGAAAACCTTGGTTCCTGATTTCATTTACACATTTAATGTACAGTAGTATATTTTGTTTCAAAATAATGCTAATATATTTACTAACATAAAACTGAAAGATATTCAAGTTTATGGTTCTTTCTGTCATCAAGGTAAATTCACTAGAGTGGTCTCAAAATACAATGTTTGAAAACCACATTAAAAATATAGGCTGGGCATGGTGGCTCACACCTGTAATCTCAGCACTTTGGGAGGCTAAGGAGGGCACATCACTTGAGGTCAGCAGTTTTGAGATCAGCCTGGCCTACACGGCAAAACCCATCTCTACTAAAAATATAAAAATGAGCTGGGCATGGTGGCAGACGCCTGTAATTCCAGCTACTCAAGAGGTTGAGGCAGGAGAATCACTTGAGCGCAGGAGGTGGAGGTTTCAGTGAGCTGAGACTGTACCACTGCAATCCAGTGTCGTTGACAAAGCGAGACTCCATCTCCAAAAAAAGAAAAAAAAGAAAAAAACTAAAACAAGGTACCTTCAGAAGGGTCTAATCTAACCCTGTCCAATCCTTGTTCTCCACCCTTCCTATATAAGTAACCATGTGTAATCAATTTTTAAAACATATGTGTATGTACACACAGTATATATTCATTCTGTGTAACAGCATACTGGCCACACTACTTTGCACCTTGGTCTACTTAATCTCCCCACAGTACTCCACTGTATAGATGTATTGATAGATATCTGTGTGGTTTCCAATCTTTGCCTTTTACAAACAGTGCTGTACCAACACAAACCCAAGGAAAAAACCACACGTGGTGTCTTGTGCATGTGTCACTTTTGTTTTGGGGAGATTTCAGAAGTACGATTCCTAAAGCAGCATAATCTCACTAGATAGTGCCAACTTACGTCCACAGGAATTCTACATTTTTCATTCCTACTAGCAATGTTGATGAGAATGCCTTTTTCCCCTACAGCTTAACCAACAGTGTATGTTGTCAAACTCTTGGATTTTTGCCAGTCTCTAGGTAAGCAATAGTACAATACAATACATCAGATGGAGAATCTTTTGTTCATATGTTTGAGCCATTTACTTTTCTTTTTTCTGTGAGCTATTCATATATTTTGCCCATTTTTCTATTAGGTTTTCCTTAAGATTTCATAGATGTGGAATATCAACACTTCATCAATTTCTCCCTTGATTCCCGGATAGTGAAGTTTTCTCAATTCTTTCAAGGAATTTGCCTACATTGTCTTTGAAGAGATGGGGTCCTGCTGGTCTCAAGCTCCTGAGCTCAAATGACTCTCCTACATTGGCTTCCAAAATAGCTGGGACTCCAGGTGAAGCCGCTGCACTCTGCAAGTTTCCCTTTTTATGTGTGGGTTTCTGATTCACTGGGAATTAATTTAAATATACAGCATACAGAATGGATCCAATTTTACCCCTTTCCACATGGTGGTTCAGATGTCAAAATACCACTTGTTGGAAATAATTTTTAACACTGACTTAAAATGCTATCTTTATCAATCTCTAAATTTCCAAATGCATATGGATCGATTTCCAGATTTTAAACTTTTCCATTGTTTTATTCCTGGGGCAACTCTACACATTAACTTACCGAGGCTTCTCGACATATAACATCTCATAGGCTAGCAACCTTCCTCGTTTCTCCCCCCCAAGGTTATTTTTGCTGAATAATCACCTTGTGTATCTCTTAGCAAAAAAAGTTTTATCAGGATCATGTCAAGCCTGTAAAATGGAAAAAGCTGACATTGACATCCCGCTGCCACTGAGTCTTCCTAGCCCTCAGCGTGCTGCGCCTGCCATTATACTTTCACAGGGATGTTTTCGTTTTTATGTAGGTTTGAAAGTTTTATGTATTTCTTAAGTTTAGGGTTTTGGTTGTGTTTCCTTTTTTCCTGAGACAGGCATGGTCTCACTCTGTCACCCAGGCTAGAGTGCAGTGACATGACTGCAGCTCACTGCAGCCTCTACCTCCCAGGCTTGTGATCCTGAGATTATCTTCCAGAGTAGCTGGGGTTACAGGCACATGTCACTACCCCCGGCTAAATTTTTAAACATTTTTGTAGAGAAGGGGTTCTCACTGTTGCCCAGGCTGGTCTAGAACACCTCAAACAATACTCCCATCTTGGCTTCCCAAAGTGCTGGGTTTACAGACATGGATTATACTGCACCCAGCCATGTTTAGGGTTTGGTTTCGTTCTAGGGTCTCATTTGTTCTAGTTTTTGTTACTGTAACACCTAGGCATTCAGTTATACCTTTTAAGTGCTTTGGTTTACTTAATGTTTTGCTACTTTGCCAAATTCATATTGTTTGTAGATTTTTTATTCTTTTGGGCTTTCTACACATACGGTTATATAGAAAGGGTTTGTCCCTTTCAAGTTTTATTTTGTGTGGGGGGGGCAGACTTGAGGGGTGGCTAATATTCTAAAACGATAGCTGAGAGCACCCTTTACATTCCTGACTTTACTAGGTATACATACCAAGGTATATGTATTTTTTAAGAAAGTCAGCCAGGCTCAGTGGTTCATGCTTATAATCTGAACACTTGGGAGGCCAAGGCGAGTGGATCACTTGAACCCTGGAGTTTAAGACCAGCCTGGATGACATGGCAAACCCCCAGGCTCTGGATTGTTTTGATTGCTTCACATCTGTTTTACTTTTGCCTCCTTACAGACACTGGCAGCTGCTGCGCAACTAACTCTCCCACTTTGGGGGTCTGACTTCTGACTCTGAGAGATGGAGGTTCTGAGAAACTCAACTTACGTTTCCTCAGTCCTAGAGAGGGAAACATGCTTTCTGCAGATATTGTTACCTGTGACTGCCTTTTTGCTCTTTTTGAGGTATATTTCACACTATAAAATTCACCCATCTGTGGTTCTTGGTATGTTTCCGAGTTGTATATCACCATACCCATTAGAAGTCACTGCTCCCTGAGCCCATGGCCACCTGTAACCTACTTTGTCTCCATGGATTTGCCTGTTTGGGGCATTTCATATAACGGCAATCACATACTGTGCAGCCTTTGGTGTAGGGGAGCTCTCACTTACCATAATGTTGCCAAGGTCCATCCTCTGTTTTATGGCTACACCACATTTCATGCATTCACTTGTTGATGGATATTTGGGTTCTTTCCACCTTTGAGCTATTAATAATGCTGCTGTGCTTGTACAACTTTTATATGAACATGTGTTTTTAATTCTCCTACCTATATACTTAGGAGTGGAATTGTGGTAACTTTTTGAGGAATTTCCAAACTGTTTTCAACGGCAGCCACACACAAAGGTTTCATTTTCTGCACATCCTTGCCCACACATATTTTCCTACTTTTAGATTATAGCTATCTTAGCAGGTATGAGATGATTTTGATTTGCATTAATGACACTGACCATCTTTTGAAGTGCTTATTGCCAAATAGCATATTATTAGACTGTTGTGGGGCACCGTTACCTATATTAACTTCTTTAATCTACACAGCAACCTTATGATATATTGTTAGCATTCCTATTTTACAAATGAGGAAACTGACCCATGGCCTGAATAACTTTCCGAGGTCACACAGGTAGGGAGTAACTGACCTGGGATTTAAACCCAAGCAGTCTGGCTCCACAGATAATGCTCTTATTCTTCCTGTATATGGCATGTCCAGAAAAGACAACTATAGTAACTGAAATTAAAAACAAAAAACTTCATTGGACAGGTAAAAACAGCAGTTAGGCAGGTCCAAGAAAAACACCCAGAATGGCTTAAGAGACATGGTACAGAGGATGAGAATGGCTGAAACATTTCCAGAAGTGGTGAAGGCATAAAAGAGAAAAATCTACAAAGACAAATCCTATGAAACAAAAAATAGGAATTAGACCGACAGTATACTTGAAGTGCAGCTGGACAGCATAAGTATGTTTCCTATGCATAACCAAGCTAAAACACTGAAGGCTCTAGAGAAACAGCAGAGCAGGCAGATCAGGTTTAGGAGGTTTTCACGTCTTCAGAACAGACCTGAAGGAACTAATAGAGATGGGACACCCACCCGTGCAGGGCTGTCATTTCCACTCATTTCTTTAGCCCCAGTCAACATGTAGTTGTTTGGTATTTTTGTTAG